CGCCTGCCCCGGGGCGCTGCCCCTCCGCAAGGGCCATTTTAAACGTTGAGTGGGGTTCGGTGTGAGGGGAAAGGCGGGTGCTTGGTGTCCGCCCCCCGCAGGGTCGGTCCGTCCCCCGGGCGGCGGCGGGCGGGAGCCGGCTCCCACCTGGTGGCGGCCGGCGGCAGCGCAGGGCCCGGCGGGGGGAGCGGCGCGGCGCTGGGGGCAGGTGGGAAACGGACCGAACGCGGCTTCGGGGGGGCACATCCACCCCTCTCCGTGCCCTGTGGGTGCTCACGGCCCGTTTACCTACATTCCCCACCTTGCTCTGCTTCTGCGGCCTAGGTGCAAAATGCTGCTTTTAAGTGGTTCTTTCATTAGCCTTGGATTTTTTGTGATAATGTATAACAAATAATGTGTACGTTTGGAAAAAAACCAACACACAAAACCTACTCTGTTGCATTAATGCTTCATTGTGGTGATAATGTGGGAAAATAGAGGCAGCAGGTGCTAGGCACGCTGTGTAGCAGGTGGCCAAGAAGGCCAATGGCATCCTGGCTTGTGTCAGCACTAGCGTGGCCAGCAGGGACAGGGAAGGGATCTGACCCCTGTACTCGCCACTGGTGAGGCCGCACCTCGATTCCTGTGTTCAGTTTTGGGCCCCTCACTACAAAAAGGACATTGAGTGACTCGAGCGTGTCCAGAGAAGGGCAATGGAGCTGGTGCAGGGTCTGGAGCACAGGTCGTACAGGGAGCGGCTGAGGGAACTGGGGGGGTTTAGTCTGGAGAAGAGGCTGAGGGGAGACCTCATCGCCCTCTACAGCTACCTGAAAGGAGGGTGCAGAGAGCTGGGCATGAGCCTCTTTAACCAAGTAACAAGCGATAGGACAAGGCAATGGCCTCAAGCTGCGCCAGGGGAGGTTTAGACTGGATATCTAGAAGGGGTTGTTGGGCATTGGAACGGGCTGCCCAGGGAGGTGGTGGAGTCCCCATCCCTGGAGGGGTTCAAGAGTCGGGTCGCGCTGAGGGATCTGGTGTAGTTGGGAACAGTCAATGTTAGGTTAATGGTTGGACTGGATGATCTTCAAGGTCTTTTCCAACGAGACAGTTCTGTGAACCACACTGGTGGAAGTGGTTGGGATATGATGCTGATAAGGTATGTAGGACAGACTTAATTACTGCCTTATCTGTGTTTAGACTTGAATTCCAAAGTTATATTTGCTCTGGAGTGCTTATGATTTTGTGACTGCAAAGCTGGTGATTATTCAAACAAAATGAGTAACTTTTGTACCCCAAATGGCTGTGCTGTGAGTGTGTACAGATTCACCTCTTCAGCACAGCAGTACTGTACATAGTTACACCCTGAGCATGTGTTTGTGAATGGCCAGTTTTTTATTAATTTCACCACAGTCATTTATTGGTAAATAAATAATAATAAGTAAAATTAACTCAAGGTTTTAATTCTTTTCTTGTTTTGTTTTGTTTTTTTTCCCCCCCAGAAAGAGCTCAGTCTCCCCAGAAGAGGAAGTTTGTAAGTATAATTATTCTTTATTCATCACTTGGTTTGTTTTGAACATATATCACTGTTCAATTGTGGAAATTGCTTAAATGGGCAGATACACTGTTTTCTCTGTTAGCATTTTCAAGAATCTGTCATCCACTTGGAAACAGCTAGCTTGCATTTCTCTGAGACTGAAGCCTCTCTTCATTTTCTTAAGTGTAGCAGGAAAAGTAGTAGTAGTGTAAGCTTACTTCTAATTATCAGCTTGAGCTGATCGTGATACGGAAGTAGCTGTGGTGTTGAGTGTTGCTTGCACTGACATCACTGAAGTGACTCCACAGAAGTCACTGATTATTTATGTGATATGCACAACTTTGATCACTGCTCTTCAAACAGTCTGTTGACAGAAGTCTAAGTACACAGTTCCTGGGCCGTGCAGGTCAGGTGTTTGTGGAGTAGTCTGTGTAATAGAGATACTTTGACAAAGTAGGATATGTCAGGCAAAACAGGCTTTTAAAAACATGGTATAAACAAATAGCAATTTTAAAAAAATACATTATGATGTTTAAAGAACTTTAGTGAACAAACATGTGTTTCAATGATATTATGAGAGCTTAGCTTCTGCTATGCTTACAGATTTATGGTGGAAGAAATTGCATTATTGATTGCATTATATAAAAGAGAAAGCTTTTGTACTGCCTGCTATTACATTATGATTTAAAATTGTTTCCCAAAGCTTGTAGACTACAGACATGAAGCTCACAGAAGCATATAACATTTCTTCCTCAGGTTTCTGGTTCTAATGAGAAATGATTTTCAGTCTTTCAATGTAAGCTATCCCCTTTGTATAAGAAAAAGTGTTTGGAAAATGCTGTGTAATGCCAGTGATTCAGGGCTGAACAATACAACGGATCAAAAGGCCTTTTTTTTAAAGTGGGGCATGACCAGACCTTTTTGTTTAGTTGTATGACAATGGTAAACTAGTCAGGGAGTTATTTAAAGAACATGAAACACTGGCTGATTTTTAAAATTTTATTTTTAACAAGTATGCCATAAAGGCTAGCTTAATGATATTTGATAGATTTTTAAGAAAGGTGGTGCTCATAACTTGAAGATTGTGAAGGTTCTTTGAACAAATAGTGGAACAGTCAGTTACCAGTAAGTTTTTTGTTTGATATGACTTAGATATTTTTGTACGAAACTTTTGGAATAGAAATTGAGGATGCCAGATATATTTCCTTCCATCGTTCAGGCATGGAGGTGGGTATGACACAAAACTACTCATGTATTTACATTTCAAATATCCGAGATACAAATGAAGTGCTTCACTTTAGTAGTAACTAAGCCAAATGACTGAATGTTTTCTTTCTATATTGATTTAACACTTTTACTTTTCATTACTTCAGTTTTTTTTCCACACTGAGTGCCTTTTAAGCCAACATTATATGAAGAAATTTAGCAACCTGTGTCAGGAAGATCCAGGCCATAATTTTTAAGCACAAGGTTGCAGCTGTTAGTGAGACTGAAAATCTATGAAGATGTTTTCAGTTAGTTGCCTGTGTTATATAGTTATTTGATTGAAGTTTCAGGAATTACAGATTCTGTAGCCAGTTTTACCAAATGATTTCTTGTTGTTTGAAAAGTTTAAGTATTTAAGAAGTCAGTGGTGTCTTGTGCCTTGTTCATGTTTGTGTTGATGCAGTACTGTTAAGCCTATAGGCTCACTGAAAAGGGTCAAGTGGAGCTGATGTACGTGATTTGCATATCCTAGTATCAGAGTGTTTATGTGATTTAAAAAAAAAATCACTGAGTCTTTGAATCAGGGACTAAAGAAATTTATATAAAAAAATGAATAGTGTGTGTGTGTGTGTGTGTGTGTGTGTGTGTGTATATATATATATGTGTTAAAAAGTATAAATTTGTCAAACCAGCCTGTCAAAAAGGGTGGCCTGATTTAAGGGTGGCCTTGAATGCAGACTGTAGGTAGTTCTCAGTTCTTTTTGGAAGCTTTTTCTGTGCTTGAATCAAATTTATTCTGAAAAGCTGTTGTTGTGCTGTAGCTAATGAGTAGGGGTAGTTATGGATGTAGCTAGCTCCTGATTCATTGACTGTCATTCATTGACTTCTGTTCACTGACAGGAGCAGGAATTGACAGAAGGAAGAAGTATCTGGCTTGGAGCCAGAAACCCTCAAGAGGTGCATCCATTTTCTGCACAAACTACAGCCTTTGTGGTAGTTCAGTAGCAATTGTATTATATAGTAATATGCAGCCACTCAGCACTTTTCTGTGTGCTAGCCTGGAGGCTGGGGTGCATTTACTTCTGTAAAAAGATCGTATTTGGGGAATAAGTAATTATTTTCTAGCCAGCCAGAAGTAGAATGAAGACTTGATTATTGCAGCTTGCTAGGCATTGCTTTGGTTGATTGTTGATTTAGAAAGACTTTTGACTTTGGATTAAGTAGAGTATTTATCATGGCTGAATGGAGAAGGGCAAGCTCTTCCTGACAATGCTTCTAACTTTGATCTGACTCTCATTACTTCATATTTGCCTGGGTCAATCTTAGTAATCCCTATTTTTCTGCAGGAACTGATTGTAGGCATGGACAACAACAGTTGCTATACTTGTTTATGTTAAAGAAAAGGAGTGGAGTTAGATGTCTCTATTTTTGGCAGGAGAGTATGAGGAATTTTGTCACCTAAAGAAAGTGTTTGGTAGAAGCTGAAGAGAACGAATGGTGGGATGAGCCTGTGTTGTCTGTTGATTAGTGACCCTGCTTCTGTATTAGCAGAAGGGAGCACATAGCACACCGTAAAGGATGGCTTTTTCCTTGGGAGATCTTTCAGTCTAAACTTGAAATAATCAGCACAGAGTGAGCAGATACGTAAAACAGATGAGGGAATTGTATGCAGGGTGACATTAAGAGGAACGCCTGATTGTTTAGATACCATTTTGTTGTTAATGTGCTTAAAGCGTGTGTGTTTCTGTAGGGTGGTTATGTTTAATGTGCTAAAGGAAATTATACTCAACTGAGTTGTAGACTGCTAAGAGGTTGAATTATACAAGTA